ATTTCCACCCTTTTCTTTAGCCTAAGTTCTCTCAACCCTTAACCTTTAGCTCCACCTTGAGGATTTCACAAAACAGCTCAAAGAAAGTCAGCCTCTAACCTTAAAACAGGGAAGTCTGGATTTCCAAAGAAAACTCACTCAAGTCCACCATTGCAAAGCGAGGAGCCAGTGGGGCACAGCGGGCCCCTGTTTGTACCTAGTACAGTCCAGGTCTGCAAGGTGGCCCTGGATGGGATCCTCTGGAATCCCACTGCACTACACCATAATAAGACAATCCGTATATTGGTAAGGGTGTCCGAGTTACGGCACCATCATGTTGGTGGTGAAATGGCACCAGAATGTTACCAATGACGGGACCTTGGTTCAGCAACATCAGTCCTTGAATTCTGGCCAAGGAAGAATTCAGAGCCAAGACTCAAACTATAAGGAAGAATTTATTTAGAAAGCCACAGAGGTAGAAGAAATGGGCTTAGGAAACAAGAGACAGAGACAAAAGAAGGCCCTTTGAGCTTAGGAGAAAGAGAGAGGTCAGGAAAATGTACTTGGGGGAAAGGAGGTGGGGAAGGCGTAAGTGTGCTCCACAGAGAGAGCTGCTATTCTTATATTCCTATTTATTAATTATTGTATTCTTTGCCATACAAACAACTGTAAACCTACTTTTGCCCCAACCCGTATATGACTGTGGGCTAAGTGTAATTATTATCACCTTTCAACTCTTCCCATAGAAAACCTAGGTGAACTAGCTCCCGACCAGTTCTAAGCTAGGTTAGTTCTCCCTCCTGCTAAGCACATTTCCATTCTTCTATCACCATCCTGCTATCACAGGCTGAAGGTATGCAACCTAATTCTAATTCCAGCCCAAGCAAATTTATTGCCCTCACAAACATTGCAAAGTGCCTCTATTACCAATAAAAGCACATCTTAGGGATTCTGGGTGATCCATGAATTCGAAGCAAACATTTGTCATCGATTCCCCTTCTGTTTAGGGTTGGCCCCTTGGCTGGAGAATAAATCCCTTCCCCAGCTTTAGTACTGATGTAAATTCTAGAATACAACCCAATTGGAAGTTTGGGCCTAACTATAAAGACGATTTCTTTCAGAGCTGGAAAGCAATTCTGTATTTCATGCACTGGAAAGGTAAAGGTAAACCCTACCCCTTATAGCAAAGACAAATATATACACACAAATATAAATATATATACAAATATATATTTACATATCTACACTAATAAAAGAGAAACATGGTAATTGGCGTACGACCGCTACCCTTTTCATTGGCTAATCAGTGAGTATATGCAAATTAACTGTCAGCCAAGATGGCGGCCGGCAGCCAGGCACTGAAGCGAGCAGGGAGGCTTGCTTGCTGCAGACTCCAACATTCCGGGCACAGCGGGCCCCTGTTTGTACCTAGTACAGTCCAGGTCTGCAAGGTGGCCCTGGATGGGATCCTCTGGAATCCCACTGCACTACACCATAATAAGACAATCCGTATATTGGTAAGGGTGTCCGAGTTACGGCACCATCATGTTGGTGGTGAAATGGCACCAGAATGTTACCAATGACGGGACCTTGGTTCAGCAACATCAGTCCTTGAATTCTGGCCAAGGAAGAATTCAGAGCCAAGACTCAAACTACAAGGAAGAGTTTATTTAGAAAGTCACAGAGGTAGAAGAAATGGGCTCAGGAAACAAGAGACAGAGACAAAAGAAGGGCCCTTTGAGCTCAGGAGAAAGAGGTCAGGAAAATGTACTTGGGGGAAAGGAGGTGGGGAAGGCGTAAGTGTGCTCCATAGAGAGAGCTGCTATTCTTATATTCCTATTTATTAATTATTGTATTCTTTGCCATAACGAACAACTTAAACCTACTTTTGCCCCACCCTCCATATGACTGTGGGCTAAGTGTAATTATTATCATCTTTCAACTCTTCCTATAGAAAACCTATCTTCTAGTTGAACTAGCTCCCGACCAGTTCTAAGTTAGGTTAGTTCTCCCTCCTGCTAAGCACATTTCCATTCTTCTATCACCATCCTGCTATCTATCACAGGCTGAAGGTATGCAACCTAATTCTAATTCCAGCCCAAGCAAATTTATTGCCCTCACAATCATTGCAAAGTGCCTCTATTACCAATAAAAGCAAATCTTAGGGATTCTGGGTGATCCATGAATTCGAAGCAAACATGTGTCATCGATTTCCCTTCTGTTTAGGGTTGGCCCCTTGGCCGGAGAATAAATCCCTTCCCCAGCTTTGGTACTGATGTAAATTCTAGAATACAACCCAATTGGAAGTTTGGGCCTAACTATAAAGACGATTTCTTTCAGAGCTGGAAAGCAATTCTGTATTTCATGCACTGGAAAGGTAAAGGTAAACCCTACCCCTTATAGCAAAGACAAATATATACACACAAATATAAATATATATACAAATATATATTTACATATCTACACTAATAAAAGAGAAACATGGTAATTGGCGTACGACCGCTACCCTTTTCATTGGCTAATCAGTGAGTATATGCAAATTAACTGTCAGCCAAGATGGAGGCCGGCAGCCAGGCACTGAAGCAAACAGGGAGGCTTGCTTGCTTCAGTGACTGCGGACTCCAACGTTCCCCACCTAACTTGCCAGCCTCTCAGTTGCAACTCTAAGCAACTATATACTATGTTGCAAATAAGAAGCTAAACAAAACCCCAGAAAAGGGCTTCCATTCAGCCGGGCTCGGACC